ATGACAACAAATGATAGGTCTAGGGGTCAACTTCCAGCGCACCCTAAATCTCCATCTGACGTCCAATTGAGGTAATTTGGATATCCACAAAAAGCATGCACATAGAGGTAACTAATGGACGTATTTCATTTTAAAATTCACTCAAACAAAGGAATTGGATATCCAAATATATTTCGATCTCTTTTTAAACTTTTCGCAATAATAGGTGTGTCCAAACCCCAACTAAAGTGCCATAAGCTTGTACAACCACCTAGATCAAATTCAAAAGACCTAAGATAATTTGTGCAACACACCACAACACATAAGTACAAACTAAATCTCAATTTCACTCCTTAACTTAATTTCAACAACAAGTAAGTGGAAGGTAATTCATCATTCAAATCATCAAATAATCATTTACAACTATACAATTATTGTAAATATATTTGTTCTAGTATTTTAGCCCTAATGAAGCCTCATCAACAAGTGCATTTTAATCCAAGGCACAAAATACAGCCCATAAATAACTTAATGCATAAAATGGTGCAAGTACTCAAAAATAAACATCCTAGTTGGCATTATAATTATAAATTACATTAAGCAAAAGAATATGAGGCATTACTATAGGAATAGCTAATCCCTAAGCCTTGGGAGCCATTCCCTTGTCTTGATTAGAGTTAATGCCTATAAAATATTGAATAATGGGGTAAATAAAACTATTCAGTAACTAATGTCATCTATAATATGCTCATACTAATCAAATAATCACAGGCATGTAAAGTGGACAGTTATAAAATAATCTAATGATACCATCTTGAGGCAAATGTTTGTCAACTATTTTCAATACCTTTACTTTATGAAGAATCAAAGGCTTGAAACTTTTGCTTATGCAAGTATGTTCCCAGACCATTCCCTTAATTCACTTATGTTATTAGATTGGGAAGTCACTAAGGAAGAGGTTAAAAATGCTCTCTACAAGATGAAACCTCTTCAAGCGCCAAGGGATGATTGCCTACATACTTTATTTTTCAAAGTTAATAGGACATAGTTAGGGACTCCATTTTTAAAACTATTGAACATGCTTTCATTGGTGGGATTATTGATTCTAGCTTTAATCATATGCTCATTTCTTTTATTCCTAAAGTTGACCAGCCACAAAGCACTGAGGAATTCAAACCCATTAGTCTTTATAATGTAATTTATAAAATCATCACTAATTGCCATATATATCTTCAAACTATCATCCCAAAACTTATCCTTCCCTTTCAAGCAAGCTTTATCAAGGGAAGGAAAATTACTGATAACATTGTTATTGCTCAAGAGGTCATCCATTCCATGTTAGGGAAATCTAGGTGGATGGCTACTAAAGTGCATCTCGAAAAACCATTTGATAAGTTGAGATGAGAATTTATTAAGGATACACTTAGAGATGTAAAACTCCTAGATAGAATCATCAATCTGATCATGAACTACATCTCCCATACATCTATGTAAATCCTCTAGAATGGTAAACCTTCTGAATGTTTTAGTCTGGAAAGGGCAATTTGACAAGGGAATCCTTTTTCCCCTTATATTTTTAATTTGTTCTCTACATGGAATGATTATCACAAGCAATCTCTAGTGAAGTAGAAAGCAAAAGCTGGGAGACTATCCAAATGGGAAAAAAATGGTCCACCACTGTCCCATCTCTTTTTTGCAGGTAACCTTGTTCTCTTTAGCATCACCAAGCCCTCACAAACTCAGATATCTAGAGAGTTCTAGATAAATTTTGTGTTTCCTTTGGTCAAAAAATTAGTCAATCCAAGACTAGGATCCACTTCTCCAAAAACATCTCCCTAAATGATGTCTCTTTCATATGCAGAAGCTCAGGATTTTAGCATACTGAACAACTTGGAAAGTATCTTTGCCTTCCTTTCCTTCATAGCGGGGTCACCAAAGACACTCACAAATACCTTGAAAGCAAAACAGAAAAAACTATCTGGATGTAGGGCTAAGTCATTATCATTGGCTGGGCGCATGACTCTTGCCTGCTCTGTTCTCTCCTCTATACCAACATATGCTATACCAACAACTAAACTTTGCATAGGGAGCAGAAAGAGATCATAAGAAAATATGTCTTATTAAATAGGATAAAATGTGCCAACCCAATAACTGAAAGAATAGAAGGCAATTTTGCAATGAATCTTTTAGCGCTTTTAGTCTTGTGAACGAGGTACTGGCTCTAGCTAACCACACAGCTAAAGTCAACGACAATTGCCATTTAATTTCTGGGATTAGATTTTAATCCTCTAATGGTTTAACCATTCTTTTGTTGGAATTTGGTTTCCCTTTTTTATATGCCAGCTTCCTCCTTGTACAGTCTTCTTTTATTTGTTGAATGAATTCTCATTTTGATTTGGAAAAAAAAAAAAAAAAAGATTCTCGTCACTTGTTTAGTCAATCTCCTCTCAGAGAAGTTTTTCTATCTTAAAAGATTAAATATTTTGCAATGATTAAAAAAATCAAACCAAATCAAATGGTCGGTCTGACAGGTCAGGCTAATGGCTTGACTAAACCAAAAAAACAGTTTGGAGAGTTGAGCCGGATTGAATCGCTTTGGACTAGTGGTCAAACTAGGAACTAGATGCGGTTTTCAAAACCAAACTGTTCAAAAAATGCCCTTATTCTTTTTTTAAAAAAATTATTAATTTTTTTAGAAAATAACAAAATTTTTTAATCATTTGATATTATGTTATATCATGTTGGTTATCAAGTCATGATAAACTTAAAATATTTTATTTTAATCTTAAGTTAACTAACAATTTTATATTTATTTCTTATATTTAAATTATTACAGACATATATAATTTTTTTAATTTAATTATTACGTTATTAGTTCAACCATTGATCCAACCCGGTTAGATCATGAGAACTGTGAATCGTTGACTTTTTCAATTCAATATCCAGTTTGGTTATGAAAACATTGCTATTTTGCAATTTTTAAGGAGTTAATTACTCTTGGATGGTTAACAAAACTTAGTTGTCTGAGTTCTAATGGATATTAACCCACATAAATTGTAATACACACTCACACACTCTCTCGTAGGTCCAATGATAATTTTGCACTCAAACTATATATCTAAGAATGTATAAGACCTTTAATGTTTAATATAAGGTCACCCTTCAATATTTGAAAGTAGTGTAATATTGCTCATACTATTAATAATGGTTGATTTTGACCATTAGTTGATGAAAAAAATTAAAGAAGAAGAATTAGAAAATTATCAATAAGGACTCTATTGAAAAATTAATATTGATTAAATTCTCTAAATTATAAATAAATACCAAATGACAAATATTATTTATTTCATGTGTAAAAAGACCAAACTAACAAGTAATTATCGAATCACCGTTGCTACTAGCAACAACACTAGTAAGTTACTAAAAAGACATCATATTTGTTTTAGTAATATATTTTTAAAATATTAATACTTTAATATATAATAATTTAAATATTATTAATATTTGCAAATTTTTCAAAAATTACAAGTTAACTAGTGTACCTATGATTCAAAAGGGAATGCATTTTTTTTTTTTACAAATAATAGTGGTAGTTATTAAATAACATTTATCTTTAAATCTTAGATATGATAGTTGAGTTGTTAATTTTTAAAAGAGGATTTATAAATTTTGGAGTAATGATTATAAATAATAATATTTAAATTTTTAAATATTAAAGTATTAATATTTTAGGAAAATATTATTAAAACACATTATGTTTTTAATTACTTACTAGCGAGTGTTAGTGTGAATAATACTAATCCGATAATCATTTGGTAGCTGGTAAAATTGCTTATCATTATGAAATTTTAATAACATCTATTTCTTGATAATTATTTGTAATTTAGTGAACGTAATCACTTTTAATTTTTTTATGTAGTACTTATTTGTAATTTTTTAATTTTTTTTAATTTTGAGATCCTTTTATGTTTTTTTTTTGTTGATTAATAGTCAAAACAGTAAGAGCAATATTAACACTGTAATCAAAGATTTTAAAAGAGAATATACATAAAAGAAATTAAAATTTTAAATACTTTTAGGCTTATAATTTAAAAGTAAAATTATACTTTAACTTTATATTATCTTAAGAGAAGGGGAATTTTGCAATTCGAAAGTAAGTTCTATTCATGTAGCAACCAATTGGACCATTGATCATTTGTAGAAACCAAACCCATGTTTAGCTTTCAAATCTGGTCAAGAAAATAATATTAAATAATGTGGTAATTTGATCTCACCTTACCATAGAATAATTACCCTATATATAAGCAAAGCTTTAGCGTCAGTTGGTCTCCCTGATCTGGATATAAGGTGCTCGTAATTCAAGTTTGACGGCTTCTACCGGAATCTTGGGTCGCTGACTAAGAAACGCGTAGTTTCAACTTTTTCAAAGGCGTCTCTTGCAGTCTTGCTGAACGTTACAAAGTCACTCCACAACACAAACATTACAAAGTCTAGATTTATCTTATCAAAATAAAATTTATAAAATAATTAATATTAAACCTGTAATATTCAAAATGTATTTGGATGATCAATTTATAAAAATTATAAACAAAATTAATGTTAAATTGAATCATGCAAATTAAATCTATATTATTCAAATTGATGTTGAATAGATTTATTAAATTTTTTATAAATTTTTATTTTGACAATATAAATTTAGACTATCTAAATTGATAATCAAATTTATTAAAATTGTTTATAATTTTTATAAATATTTTATTTTAATAAATATAAAATAAAAATTAAAAATTAAACCTAAATGGTCCAGATCTCCCCCTAGATAGGAGGAAGGAGGAGATGCAGCGGAGAAAAGCCAACTCCCACAACTTAGGCACAGAGTCAAAGCATTCATTTCCATCGCAACCTAAGAAACGTATGTCTTATTTTTCGTGGGAGCTGTGGGATTCAGAATAAACACAAGCCACCACCTGATAAATATTTTTCTTGTGCTTTCCAATTTTCATTTGGGTTTGAGCTTTGCAATGGACACCTTCACCTCAGGTCAATTCATGAGAGACAATGAAACAGTCAGCTCCAATAGCAGTGACTTCAAGCTCGGATTCTTCAGCCCTTAAAATTCCACAAACCGCTATGCAGGAATCTGGTATCTTTCAGAATCCAACATCATCTGGGTAGCTAACAGAAACCAGCCAGTTTTTGATGCTTTTGGGACTGTCACAATCTCTAAGGACGGGAATCTTGTGATTTTGGACAGACAGAATATGACTGTCTGGTCCTCAAATGTTTCAAACATTGCAACTAATTCAATTGCAAGGCTTTTGAACACTGGGAATCAAATCCTCTCTGATAACAGCACGGGAGAAACTGTATGGGAGAGTTTCCAAGATCCTTCTAATCTTCTAGTTCCAAAGATGAAGCTCAGCATCAACGAAAGAGCTGGAGAGAAAGTGAAACTTACATCATGGAAAAGCCTTTCTGATCCATCTATTGGAAACTACTCTGCTCCTCTTGAACGCCCAGATGCTCCTGATGTCTTTCTCTGGTTTAATGGAACTCGCCCGTATGCTCGAACCGGTCCATGGAATGGTAGGATTTTTATAGGGTCACCCACAATGTCACCTGGGTATCTTTATGGATGGAGTGTTGGGAAGGAAGATGATGGAACTATTTATGTAACATTTAATTTTGCAAATGATACTACCTTTGCAGTTCTTGGCTTGAATCCACAAGGCCAACTTTGGACGGCATGGTGGAACAACAAAAGGGAAGTTTTGATGGAGGTGATTAATGTCACTTACTGTGATCTATATGGCGTGTGTTGGGCATTTGGAAGCTGCAATTCACAAAGTTCACCGATTTGTAGCTGTTTGAATGGGTATGAACCAAAGAATTTAGAGGAATGGAATAGGCAAAATTGGACTAGTGCATGCGTGAGGAAGAAGCCATTTCAATGTGAGGGGTTTGCAAATAGAAGTGAAGTGGAAGAAAAAGATGGGTTTGTATGGATTCAGGACAAGATTGCTGCACAAATGGAAAGTAGCAAAGGTTGGCGATGAAGAAGGGCGGCTGAGCTGATCAAAGACAACACCGTGTGCTGAAGGAGAAGGTCGAATCAAGTCAGATTTCACATATTTTTGCATGGTATTCTTCATCTATACAAAGACTACTGAAGTGAGAAAGGAAGAGAAGCTGGAGTCGATCAAAGTTTTGAGATCTTTAAGGGAGTGAGAAAACTGAGAGAGAAAGAAGAAGAGGAAGAGACCAAAAAATGGGGAGAGAAATACGAGTTTGAGGGAGCCACAGAGAACAAAGAAGACGGAAAAGGGTCAGAGCACGACACAAGAAAGGAGAGAAGCAGCTCTGGGATATCAAGAGGAGGAGGAGACGCTCTACAGGTTTTCTAATCTAACTATTTATAGATTTGGAATGCTTTATATTTGATTTCAATTTCTCATTTCCAAACAAGGTTAATGTTTAAATATCACAAAGCTTTTATCAGCGTTGGGGACCATGAGAAATTTTCAAACAAGAGATTGATGATTACTTGAGTGATCGTTTATGTGTGTTAGAACTTTTGGATATGAAATTTGGCTCTGTTTGGTGTTTATGGATGTAAGTGTATGAAATTCTGCCTCAGTGATTTATGTGGGTTTAAAACCATCTTTGTTAGAAGGATTGGAAATATGTTCTCAGTTGTTAAAGTGTTCTCAACTATTTTGATCTCATGAATTCTCTGTTTGAAGAAAATTTCAAAGGAAGTCCTTTGTGATGGTTTATTAACCAAGAATGTTTTCTAGAACTTCCATCTTTTGTTAGCTGCTGAGACATGTTCATGATTGTGAAGTGCATTTACATTACATCAAGATGATTGGGTTATATTAAATGGTAAAAAAAAAATAATGCAAGTAATTGGGACACCACATTGCATATTACATCACATCAAATCTTCCATTCTGGAGCATGGTATCTCAATCTTCATAACTTTGACATATGTCGTTGAGCCACAGTATGAAATGGCATGGCTTTGGTCTTTAAATATATCTACGTGACTTTTTATTTACCTGAAGCAGTGATGTGCTCATACATGGCTTATTGCATTCTCAACTCAACTACCGGAAACCTTCAAAATATCTATCTAAAAAAAGGTTCCATTAATAATGTTGCGTGTTTTCATTAATTTGAGGAGAGAGTTTGATTTTTAAATGCATAGCATTCCTTCTCAGATTGATTGAAATCGTGAACTGACATCCAATATAATAATAATAATAATAGTAATAATAATAATAATAATAATAGAAAATGTATTTATTCAGTATTTATCTGTTGCGTGAGGATTTTTAGAACCTCATTTAACATGATCTCATGCTGTGTGAATTAATCTTGATTATTTTACAGATGTGAGAATTAATCTTGATTATTGAAACATGGGTTTTGATGGCCTATTATTCAAATTAATAATTTTGTTCTTATCTTTTTTTAAATATAATTTAAATCAATTAAAAACATTTAAACGGTATCATGAAAGATTTGAAGAATCTCCATAGATATTTAGATTAATTGCCTTAGGATAATAAGCCCTCTCAAATGTCAGGTTTATTAATTTATATAGTAAATAAATAAATAGATATTGTAAATAACAATATAATAAACATTTGAAAAATTAATTAATTAAATTAATATATTTAAATTGTAACCATATTTACATGATTAGATCTTTTAGTTATGTGAGATTTCTGAATCTCTGTAGACCTGTAAGATAATCATATTACCGTGTGAGTTAATAAGACTTTATAAGTATAACAATTAAGATTTTTTAAAAAAAAGTAGAAATCATATATATATATATATATATAATATCAATATAGTTAAATAAACATTATGTAATCCTTTTATTATGTGAGTATTTTGAATCTCCTAGATATGCAGGATAATTATATTACTGTGTAAGTTAATAAAACTTTACAAATATGATGATTAAGATTCTTTTCTTATAATATGTATATGGATACTTAGAGAATTAATAAATAAATTAAGCTATTTGATTCTTTTATCATGTGAGATTTCAGAATCTTCATAAATAATAAGAATAATTATATTGTCATATAAGTTAATAAGATCTCATAAATATAACGATTAAGTTTCTAAAAAATTGCTCAAAAAAGAGAAAACAAACAATTTTAAACTCTTTTCCTTTTTCTTATTTCAAAATTTCACCAACAAAATTAGCTTCTCAAATTACATGAACTTTAATCTCAATTACAGGATAATAAGTCTCAGAGTCTAATTCTCGATCAATTGCGCCCTTGTAAATAAATAACTATTTGTTCATTTTTTAATGTTTTACACATGAATAAGAAAGGAAAATTAAAATAACTTTAAAGTCATATTAATTCAGTATAATCAACTTCAGGTAACCATTCTTACCAATAAATGTTGTAAGGTGCCTAATACCTTCCTTACACATAATTAACTCTTGAGCCTATTCTTTGATCATGCAGACTATCTTTATCTCACCTAAATGGGTTCCCAAGATTTTCATTAAAATTTGTTGGCATACTCCCATTCAATTGGCTTTCGCTTTAAAGGCCGAAACTTTCATTCTTATGTGTCATCCACGTCATGTTTTCAAGTGTGACAGTAACAATCCTAGTAAATAACTAAAAAGACATCATATTTGTTTTAATATATATTTTTAAAATATTAATACTTTAATATATATATATATATAATAATTTAAATATTATTAATATTAATAAATATTCGCACACAATTTACAAATCAACTTTTGAGATTTACAAATTCTTCAAAAATTACAGGTTAACGAGTGTATCTATGATTTTAAAAGGGAATGCATTTTTTTAATGAATAGTAGTAGTTGTTAAATAACGTTTATCTATAAATCTGAGACATGATAGTTGCGCTGTTAATTTGTAAAAGAGAATTTATAAAGTTTGGAGGAATAATTATAAATAATAATATTTAAATATTTAAATATTAATATTTTAGGAGAATATTATTAAAACACATTATGTTTTTAATTACGTACTAACTTGTGTTGGTGTCGATAATAGTAATCCGACAATCATCGGCAGCTAGTCAAATTGCTTATCATTTTGAAATTTTAATAACATCTATTTCTTGACAATTATTTCTAATTTAGTGAACTTAATCACTATTAATTTTCTATATGGTACTTATTTGAAATTTTTAAAATTTTTTAAGAAAAATTGAGATCCTTTTTTATATTATTTTGATTAACTAATAATCAAAGTTAACTTTTATAAACAGTAAGAGCATTATTACACCGTAATCAAAGATTTTAAAAGAGAACATGCAAATAATAATAATAATAATAATAATAATATTTCAAATGCTTTTAAACTTATAATTTAAAAGCAAAATTACCTGTTAACCTTATATTTATTGTGAGAGAAAGGGAATTTTAAAATCCCAAAGTAAGTTCTATTCATGTAGCAACCAATTTGATCATTGATCATGTTTAGCTTTCAAATCTAGTCAAGAAAATAATATTAAATAATGCGGTAGGTTGATCTCTTCTTACCATGGATTTATTACCCTATCTATAGGCAAAGCTCTGCCATCAGCTGGCCTCCCTGATTTGGATATAGAGTGTCTGTAATTGCAATTCCGTTTGTAATTCAACTTTGACGGCTTCTACAAATATCTTGAGTCACTGACTATGAAGCGCGTACTTTCATTTTTTTCAAAGGCGTGTCGTTCTGAACGTTACAAAGTCACACTACAGCACAACTTAGGCATGGATTCAGAACATTCATTTCCATCGCAACCTAAGAAAGGTATGTCATATTTTTCACCATAGCCATGGGATTCAAAATCAGAAGTCTCAGCTTGGTAAATCTTTTTCTTGTGCTTTCCCATTTCCATTTGGGTTTGAGCTTTGCATTGAACACCATCACCTCAGGTCACTTCATCAGAGACCATGAAACAGTGAGCTCCAATAGCAGTGACTTCAAGCTTGGATTCTTCAGCCCTCAAAATTCGACAAACCGCTACGTAGGAATCTGGTATCTTTCTGAATCTAACATCATCTGGGTAGCTAATAGAAACCAGCCAGTGGTTGATGCTTTTGGGACTGTCACAATCTCCAAGGACGGGAATCTTGTGGTATTGGACAAACAGAATATTAGTGTCTGGTCCTCAAATGTTTCAAACATTGCAACTAATTCAATTGCAAAACTTTTGAACACTGGGAATCTAGTCCTCTCTGATAACAGCACAGGAGAAACTATTTGGGAGAGTTTCCAAGATCCTTCTAATCTTCTAGTTCCAAAAATGAAGCTCAGCATTAACAAAAGAACTGGAGAGAAGGTGAAACTTACGTCATGGAAAAGCCTTTCTGATCCATCTATTGGAAACTATTCTGCTTCTATTGAACGCCCAGATGCTCCCGATGTCTTTCTCTGGTTTAATGGAACTCGCCCGTATGCTCGAACCGGTCCATGGAATGGTAAGATTTTTATAGGGTCACCCACAATGTCAACTGGGTATCTTTATGGATGGAGTGTTGGGGAGGAAGATGGTGGAACTATTTATGTAACATTTAATTCTGCAAATGATACTACCTTTGCAGTTCTTGGCTTGAATCCACAAGGCCAACTTTGGACGGTATGGTGGAACAACAAAAAGGAAGTTTTGAGGAAGGTGATTAATGGCACTTACTGTGATCTATATGGCATATGTGGGGCATTTGGAAGCTGTAATTCACAAAGTTCACCGATTTGTAGCTGTTTGAATGGGTATGTACCAAAGAATTTAGAGGAATGGAATACGCAAAATTGGACTAGTGGATGCGTGAGGAAGAAGCCATTTCAATGTGAGGGGATTGCAAATAGAAGTGAAATGGAAGAAAAAGATGGGTTTGTGAGACTTGAGAACATGAAAGTGCCAGACTTTTTGGAGAGGTCAACTGCAACAGAAGATAATTGTAGAACACAGTGTCTGGATAATTGCTGTGTGGCATATGCATATGATTCAAATGGCATTGGTTGCATGCATTGGAGTGGAGATTTGATTGACATACAAAGATTCTCAAGTGGAGGGGTTGATCTTTACATTCGTGTGCCTTTGTCTGAACTTGGTACCATTTTTGTGTTTTAAATCTAATGCTCAATCATATTAGGAAGTTTTCGCTAAAGCTTGCTGACTTTTTGTTGTGAAATGCAGAAAAACATTCACAAAAAAGAACAATCATCATTGCAGTTGCAGTGACAATAGGAATTATTACTTTAACAGCATGTGCATATCTCTTATGGAAATTATTGACCGTTAATAAATATGCAGGTATTGTAATAAATTTTAGTTTTCATCCAAGATTATTCATACTGTTGAAACCTGTAAATGTGAATGATGTTGGTATGTGTGTGTTGAAAATAAGATATGCTTTCGGACCAAAGAAAGTGTAATGTTATTGTTGAACATAGGTGGGATAGATTCACACAATCAGTCTCAGAGAATGATTAGACAAGATGAAGTCAATATGGATGAGCTTCCACTTTTTGATTTTGAAGAGCTTCTAAATGCTACGAACAACTTTCACTCATCAAACATGCTTGGACGTGGTGGTTTCGGTTCAGTATACAAGGTATTTTTATTTTATTTTTTATTTTTTTGTGAAGTGGATTTTCATGCTCAAATGAGTTATTACAATTGCTAATTTGTTGTTTTAAATTGTCTTCTAGGGGCAATTGAAAGATGGACAACAAATTGCAATCAAAAGACTTTCAAAAGCATCACGACAAGGGCAAGAAGAGTTCATGAATGAGGTTGTTGTGATTTCAAAGCTTCAACATCGCAATCTAGTGAGGCTTTTAGGCTGTTGCATTCAGCAAACTGAAAGGATATTAATCTATGAGTACATGCATAACAAGAGTTTGGATGCAATTCTATTTGGTTAGTTTTGTCTTTTTCCTAACAGTTCATCTTGTTTTTTATGCTATACTATGAATTAAAAAAACTAAAATGCTTTACTCTTTGATTTTTTTTCAATATTTAATAACTTGCTAATTTATGTGAATACAGATTCTCCTGACAATGTGCTTGCTCTAAGTAAACCTGATCTCTTCTTTGTTTGCAGATTCAATCAAAAAGAAAGAATTAGATTGGCAAAAACGCTTCACAATTATTGAAGGAATATCTAGAGGTTTGCTTTATCTCCATCGAGATTCTAGAATAAAAATCATACATAGAGATTTAAAGGCTAGTAACATCTTGTTGGATGAAGAGTTAAATCCAAAAATATCAGATTTTGGTATAGCTAGAATATTTAGAAGCAATGAAGAGCAAGCTAATACTAGAAGGGTGGCTGGGACATAGTAAGCATCTCTTCTTTTCTCAATTATTAAATCATCATGCCATTGAAATACAAGTTAACTTGATAAATTTTTAATGTAGTGGCTATATATCTCCAGAATATGCAATGCAAGGGCAATTTTCAGAGAAATCAGATGTTTTTAGTTTTGGAGTTCTCATGCTAGAGATTGTTAGTGGAAGAAGCAACTCTAGATTGAATAACGTGGAGGGATCTCAAACCCTATTAGGATATGTAAGTATCTTTTGTACTTATTATTGTTGTAGATATAAGCTATCTAGTTTCATGCATGGATTTTTTTTATATTTTCAGGTGTGGAAGCTATGGAAGGAAGATAACCTTGTGTCCTTTATAGATTTAGAAATGCAGCATCAAGGTTCTTGTGAGGATATTTTACGATGTGTACACATAGGACTGCTTTGTGTGCAAGAATTAGTGAAAGAGAGGCCAACTATGGCCAATGTAGTGTCTATGCTTAGTAGTGAAATTGCCAATCTTCCTCTTCCAAGGCAACCTGCATATATACTAAACGAGACAGGGTTCAATTTTGAGCCTGCTTCAGAAGCACAGAGTTCACACTCTGCTAACTTTGTTAGCATTACTAGCATAACTGGAAGATAGCATTGCACTATAATGGGTGATTATGTCATTGGTTTTGATGTTTCTTGAATCCAATATTGCATTGCAAATAATACCACAGACCTTAAACTTGTTTATTATATAAATTGTTCTCTTAACTTTTGAAAGCAGTATAATTTAACTCTTGCTATTAATAAAAGTTAACTTTGACCGTTAATAATAATAAAAAAATGACAAAAATGACCTCAAACATTACATAAAAAGGACAAAGAAATTATAATAAAGGACTCAAAAATTATAGTCAAGAACACAAAAATCTTTCTTTTCATCCTTTTCTATAATTTTATGTCCTTTTTCTTTTGTAACTGTTGAGGTTATTTTCTTGTTAACTAACAATTAAAGTTAACTTTGATTAATGGCAGGAGTTAAATTGTATCGTTTTCAAAAGTTAAAAGAACAATATGCATAATAAACGAGATTTAAAGTTTATGGTGTTTCAATATATAAAATTTAAAGAGTAATTTGCTCATTTGTCATTTTTACTTTTTATGATGCAATGAATTTACTTGAGTATAACTTTTGTGCCAAGAAGAAAGGCAAGTTGCACAATAGAGTTTGTTTTGTTGACTTTGAAGTTCTGCTAGAAAGATAGGAATATTACAAGAAACTCGAAAGATGCATTTGACAAGGAATAAAGGAAGGAAGGTATAAGACCAAACTATGATTATTTGCAAGTTTTCACTTTCCAATAAAACCAAAATCGTTGAAAATAGAGGTCATATCAATTGTCCTATAAATAAGAAGATTCGAAATCACTTTTAGAATAAATAAATAAAATATACAAGTTTCAAATGTTGTCCTGGCCTATTAAAGAAAAATGGTTTAGCACAGCTTGTTTGAGCACGCTCTTGGAAATGAAGAAGCTGCTTCAGGGAAATTGCATTTTCTCTCTCCTAAGAATAAGAAATTGCTTATGTTAGATAAACTAAGTGCTTTAACCTTTCTTCATAGGAGGGGAAAGAAAAGTCACTTGTAAGTGGTAATATAACTTCTCTCTCTTTTTTTTTTTTGTTGTGAAAAAGGACTTTTTTCCAGCAAAAGTGAAAATGAATATTTGGAGAACGAATGCCCCTGTATCACAATAACAAATATAATTATATAAGATATATTTAATTTGCATGTTCAAATTTTATAAATGTACATGGTATAGATTTTTAAAAAAATTAATATTTGATCTTTGCAATTTTAAGTTAATTATAATTTAATTTTTGAACTTTGACTTGTTATAACTCAATTTTTAAAGTTTTGACTTGATTATAATTTAATCCCAAACTTTGACTTTTGCAATTCAATACTTATAATTTCAACCACTTAAATATTAGTCCTTATATCTTAAAAAATAAATTTATAAAGATCAAAATTATGTTAAAATTTATTATTAACATTTTAAATTACTACACCTTTTTAATCTTTATAAATATTATAAATATTAAAATTTTAAAATATTTTCAATTTTTATAATTTTATTTTTTAAAATATAAAGACTAATATTTAGGTGATTGAAATTACAGTGATTGAATTGCAAGAGGTGAAATTTAGGGGTTGAGTTACTATAAGAACTGAATTATAACGAGTTAAAATTTAAAATTAACTTATAATTAAGTTAAAACTACAAGAATCAAATGATTAATTTCTCTTAAATTTTATATGTTTTCTTTATTTTATTTTTTTATCCCTAGTCATCATTTCTTGAAAAAGTTTACAACCAGAACATTATATTTATTCTATGAAATTTTCTTTTAAACTTAAAAACATTATTACATATGTAGGTATGTGAATGGTCATATTTGCTATTTTCATCAGTGTTATCAGAACTAGACCAGACCGGCCAGTCCAACCAGTTCAACCGAGAACCGGTCTCAAGTCTGGTCCGTTCATCACAAAAAACTGGAAATTTCAAAAACCAGTCAAGAACCAGCATAACCGACCACGAACTGGTAAAATCAACCAAAACCGGGCAAGAACCGATTGAACCAATTATATTATTTTTTAATTTTTTATTTTTAATTCATATTTTAAAATTATAATTTATACATATTTATACCTAATAAGCATTATGAAATAAAAAAAATGTATGAAATATGTATAAATTATGTATATGTGTATATATTTTAAAGTTATAAATTATGAATTATGAAACACTTGTATATGTTTTGGATTAAAATAATGTAATATTGATGGATGTTATATTTTTTATTGTATATTATTTTGTTTGAAATTTAAACATTTTTTTTGTTACTATATATGATTATTTCTTTCTATTTTAAATATATAATATTTAATATATATCAATTTATTTATGACCGATTGGACGACAGTTCAAACCGCGGTCAGACCATTGAATCGTGAATCAGTACCTCAATCGATTTAATGGCCGGTCTGGTTTTCATAACATTAGTTTTCATAACTCCTCTGCTAACCCAAAGCAGCGGAGAAGCTGGTACCGGAATACATTATTATAGTACTCCCAATTTTTCTACCTAATATTAAATATAAAAAAAGATCATTGCATGTACGCATATGGAACTTCAAATACTTACATCCTGAAGAGAATAACAGCTAAGTACCAAAACACTAAATTAATGATAGTTAAATTGTCAAAAAAAAAAATTGAAAAATTAGTTGAAAAAATCAATCTAAATAATTATAAATTAAGAAGTTTCAATTACAAATAAATATTTGAGCATCAAATGTAATTCTTAAATTATAACAAAAATTTTTATTTATAATTATTTGAATTAATATTTACAATTTATTTTGTAAATCTTTTTGTCAAGAATCCAATATATATTAATTTAATGTTTTGAGACCTAACTGTTATTTTTCCTGCATCTTCTGTCTTAGCCCAAGTTGTAGTTCACAAAGCAGACAGATAAGAAAGTTTGGTTCTGCTTTATTGGGCCTTCATATGGACCGATAAGTTGGGCTTAGTTTGTCTTTTGGGCCTTCATTGGGCCAAGTGTTAACAGAGTCTGCGTTGGTTTATTTCCAGCTTCGAGTTGTATTGTTTGTCTACACGTGTGTCAGATTAACAACATCCATTGTTCTTTGAGAGAAAGTCTAAACTAAATTTTTGGCCACTCAGCAAATGAGTTAAAAATTCAGTAATAAGTACCTTTTCAAACGTTTATTAAGAAAACTTTATCTATGACTTCAACTATTATAAAAAGAACAATTCATATTTGTTTTGGCCCCCATACATATTTAATTAGAAACTACTTCAAATGTCAAGAACCGGGAACTAATTTATGCTCCCAATTGGCCTGTGTGCTCGAGATGATAGAATCCATTAAGTTCTAGAAGAGCCAACCAATGAAAGCAAGTCTTAGCCATCTTTATTGATTGCGAATCTCAAGGGCTGTGCATTTTAGCAATGGGATTCTTTTGCAGAGATACGATCCTATTCCCTATCTTGATCATATTTGGTTGCTCTTGTTTTTACTTTTGCAGCGCTAAAGACACAATCACTTCATCAAAATACATCAAGGATCCTGAAACTATTAGTTCCAGCGGGAGTTTGTTCATATTGGGATTTTTCACCCCTGAAAATTCTACAAACCGCTATGTGGGAATCTGGTACAAGACCCAATCCAATATTGTATGGGTAGCTAACAGAAACCAGCCATTGAAAGATTCATCTGGGACTGTTAAAATATTTGAGGATGGCAATCTTGTGGTATTAAATGGGCAAAACCAAATCATTTGGTCATCAAATGTGTCAAATACTGCAGTCAACACAACTTGTCAGCTTTTAGATTCTGGAAATCTTGTCCTTCTAGACAACTCTGCAGAAAACATCTTCTGGCAAAGTTTCGAGCATCCTACTGATTCATTCCTCCCACATATGAAACTTACAAGTAACAAAAGAACAGGTGAGAAACTAAGAATCACATCATGGACAAGTTTGTCAGATCCATCAATTGGTAAGTTCTTCATCACACTTGAACGCCTAGATATTCCTGAAATATTCATCTGGAATGGAACTCGCCCATATTGGCGTAGTGGTCCATGGAATGGTAGAACCTTTACTGGTATATACTATATGAATTCCTTTTATCTTAAAGGTTTTCGTATAATAGATGATGGGGAAGGAACTATTTATTCGTCTTTTAGTTTTCCTGATGTGACAAAATTCATCCTCTTTGTCTTAGATTTTCAAGGCGTATTATATGAAAAAGATTGGTTTAATGATACAATTCAACCACAACAGAATTATAGTATTCAAACTTCAGAATGTGATATTTATGGTTTATGTGGATCATTTGGAAGCTGCAACCCAAATAGTTCACCTATATGCAACTGTTTGAGAGGGTTTGAACCGAGCAGTAGAATGGAATGGGATATGAAAAACTGGACTAATGGTTGTGTTAGGAAGACAACTTTGCAGTGTGAGAAGGTGAAGGATGGACGTGCACAAGGCAAAGAAGATGGATTTTTGAAGTTACAGATGGTTAAAGTGCCAGATTTTGCAGAAAGGTCTTCTTCTTCAGAGGAGACATGCAGAAGCCAGTGCTTGGAGAACTGTACTTGTGTAGCTTACTCATACAGTCCTGAAATAGGTTGCATGTCTTGGAAAGGAAATCTAATTGACATACAGCAGTTCCCAATAGGAGGACTTGATCTATATGTTCGTCTAGCCTATTCAGACCTAGGTATCTTAACTTTCTCTTCTGTCAGCGATTTTAAAATATATCCATACACTTTGATTGGTTATAACCTTCACTGTTTTCTCTTGAAATACAGAAAAGGGGAGACACGTGAGAACAATCATTATCATTATAGCAATAATAGGAACAATTATCATTGCTTTTGGTGCATATGTTTTATGGAAAAGGATAGTGAAACACTCAGGTACATAACCAGTTATATCATCTCAATAAATATCAATGCAATCTTCGCATTATTAAATTGTCGATTGGTAATCCATGTTATTGGGGTATTTCCATGTTCTTCACTCTTTCTACAATCGGTTCATTGTTTTAAATCAGAGAGAAAATCAAAGAATAGATGGTTCTCACGATTAAGGAAAGGTGAAGAATATTCAGAGAAAGCACAAGACATCAATATAGTAGAATTGTCACGTGCCAAACTACCAGACCTATTGACATATGATTTTGAGAAGGTTGCAATGGCTACAAACAATTTCGACCAGTCTAATAAACTTGGGCAGGGTGGCTTTGGTCCAGTGTACAAGGTACATTTATTCATGCTAAGTTCATCAATTTAGAAGTCACTGTGTGTGCTTTTTTTTTTTTTTTTGGGTCATTATGAACTAATTATTGCAGTTGGTATTTTCATTAAGGGTATATTTCAAGATGGTCAGAATATAGCAGTTAAAAGACTTTCTAGAGCCTCTGGACAAGGACTGGAAGAATTTATGAATGAGGTCATTGTCATTTCTAAGCTTCAACATCGTAATCTTGTAAAACTCCTCGGTTGCTGCATTGAAGGAGGAGAGAAGATGTTAATCTATGAGTACATGCCAAATAAAAGTTTGGATACATTTCTTTTTGGTTCGTTCTATTGATCCCTTATTTTCGTGTCATGTCATATGCACTACCTATAGCCCTTTCTGCATTTAGATAGGCACACACACACATATACACATGTTCAAAAATATTATATCCCACCCTTTTGTATCTGCAGATCCATCAAAACAAAAACTCCTAGATTGGAGAAAGCGTTTTATCATAATTGAAGGAATAGCTCGAGGAGCACTTTATCTTCATCGAGATTCTAGGCTAAAAATTATACACAGAGACCTAAAGGCAGGCAACATATTGTTGGATGAGAACATGAATCCAAAAATATCAGATTTTGGCATGGCTAGAATTTTTGGAGGGAGTGAAGATCAAGCTAATACAAGAAGAGTTGTTGGAACCTAGTAAGTTTTATTTCAGAATCCAATTAGATGATAACATGATAAGAAAAGTCAGTCAGTACTCCAATAATTAATTTTTTTGCTCAATAATATAGCGGGTACATGTCTCCTGAGTATGCAATGGAAGGATTATTTTCAGAGAAGTCAGATGTATTTAGTTTCGGAGTTTTATTATTAGAGATTGTAAGTGGAAGAAGAAACTCAAGTCCTCATAACAATGAGGACACTCTCAGCCTTTTAGGATTTGTAAGTCTCTACAATCCATTGCCCTTCTCAATACTTGAATAGCAATGCTCTATTGTTTGTTTTGTTGTTAGCTTTAGTTTTCAATGCTGTTATTTATACATTTTCTATTATATGTTTTAGGCCTGGAAATTATGGAATGAAGAGAATATAACAATGTTAATAGATCCTAAAATATATGATACAAACCTGGAGAAGGATATATTGAGGTGCATACACATAGGGCTTTTGTGTGTGCAAGAGCTTGCAAGAGAAAGGCCAAGCATGAGCACTGTGGTTTCTATGCTTAACAGTGAGATTGTAAATCTTTCTCCTCCAAAGCAACCTGCATTCATCCAGTGGCAGAGTTTGTTGTGTTCTACATCCAATGAAGGAAGTCAAGGATTGTTTTCAAACAATACTGTTAGCATTACAGAAATATGTGGAAGATAACTACAATACTACATTTTCAATGAAATAATTCAGATTTTCTTTTAGAGTGCATATACAATTTCTGATATTCCAGAAAAAGAAATTTCTCCTACCCATGGATTTTTCTTCTTCTTTTTTCTTTTATCATTCAATGACTTGTAATGTTTTTGCTATGTGAAAACATGATGAGTAATTCTTTACAGATCAGACACATCAAGTACAGTGGCTAATAATTATATCTTTTCTACAAGAGATCGATGCTGTCAATTAAGATTTGCTTTCCAAGCTCAACAGTATAGTTCAATAACATGAAGATAATATTGGAGGATAAGAGAAGACTTTGATTATTCACTCTTAAATTAACTGGGCCAACTATTATGGGTGGATATAGAATTAACAAACTTTTAATTAACTTCTAATTGATTAAGTAACTAATATTTTTAAATTTTGAATTTTTGAATTAAAATTAAAAATGCAAAGAAGTTGGAAGTTTTCTTCTTTTCTTTTCTTTTCTTTCCTTTTCTTTTTTGTTTTTTTTTGGGCGGGGGGGTGGTAGGGGGAAGAGGGGGTGAGGCAGTAAAGTTATCTCTCAAGCAACTTAAATTGTAATCACGGGGGATGAAGAAAAAGTAGAAAAAAATATTGTAATAAAAGTCAAATGAATGCTATCATATGAAGAGATGATATTACTTTAACTTAACTACTTAAGTAATTCTTGCAGGGTCAGATAACCATAGAAGAACAGGTTAATGTTTTCTTTTACAGCATTTCCACAAACCCATTCTCTACTTCCATTTCTGATCATTTTAATTTTTTCTTTTTCCAGGATTCAGTGAAAATGCTTGTTACTTTCCACACACACACACACACACTCTCCCGACTTCCCTCAACTATTTAAAAAATTTTAAAACAACTTTAAGGAAAAGAAAACGAGAAAACAAGAAAAAAAAAATTGCAAGCAGTAATAATGACGCAAGTTACAAGTATAATAATAGATAGATTCTCGACCCACTTGTCCTATCCTTTTAAAATTGAACTCATTCAAATCCCTCTTCTTTGTTCTCCTCCAATCAAATAAAGAAAGGGTTAATATTTCAATGTATTGCACAAGATGTAGAATCTAATTATGAAATAAAATGCAAATAGTTCATCTAATGATGACAATACTATTCAATTAAATATGTACCTGGTATTCTAGGTCCCTATTAAGCCCCCTCAACTCAATGTGTGGCAGATAAAAAATACTACATAATAACAAACATCATCTCATTAAGTGAGGTCAGTTATATAAATTACATGATATTAGATGATCAAAATATATATAAATATACACACACCTGGTATTATTCTTAAATACTCTTTGGAATGCGCGTTTATAAAACTTTTTTGGATAATCTTATATATAACTAAACTATAACAATATTTGTGTGTGTGTGTGTGTTGCCATTCATGAACAATGTCTCACATTTTTAAAAATAAGCAATCATCCAATTGTTTATTTTCTAATACGAATTTAGTTTGAATATATATTAAATAAATTGTAAGGGTGTTTGAAACTGAGATGGAATCTTAAAAAAAAAAAATTGATTCAAAACTTGAACACTAGTTTGTTTATTGAAGGGGAAAACTAGAATGCTAATCAGATGACACAGTCAAAATTCACTGTCCACATTTTATGCTCCACAGCACTTCGTCTTTTTGTTTTTTTTTTTTGGGGGGGGGGGGGAGGGTTGGGTGGGAGGAATTCAATGCCATGTTAGTCCGTAATTCGATAGCTGTAAAAAACTTCAATGGATTTTCTATTAAAAAAGCGTGAACATTCTTAATCCGAGGCGTGCTTTACTCCTACCAGCCAAATTTGATCAGGATAATAATTAGTAATGAAAAAAAAAAATGATGCTGTCTGATCTTATAAATAAAATAGTTAATCTCCATTAATTATTCCAGAGAACGGTAATTTCCTTCTTCCAAAGTGTGATGATCTATTCACATAGCACCAAAATTGATCAGGATCATTCCTAGAAGCCAAATATGTGATTAGCTTTCCAATCTAGTCAAGAAAATAATATTAAAACATTTGATTCAGTGACCTCACCTAACCTGAAATAATTAACGTATAAATGAGCAAAGCTTTGGTACCTGGTCTACCTAATTATGATATAATAAAATGTATAATTCAACTTTTGACGACTTCTAATCTGTTAACTTACTGACTACGAATCAGGCCCCCACCAAAAAAAAAAAACAAACAAACAAACAAAGTCACTATGAAGAGAGTACTTTCAAATTCATAATCGAAGTTGTATCATGTTCATCATTACAAAGTGAGTCCATAAAACAGGCACAGATCAGAAGATTCAATTTTATGTCAAAAAGGGTATCTTCTCATCTTTTTCACTAGAGCTATGGGATTCACAATGAAAATTCACAATTTGATAAAGATTTTGCTTTTACTTTTCAATTTCCATTTGGGTATGAGATCTGCAATGGACACTATCACCTCAGGTCAATTCATCAGAGACCATGAAACAGTGAGCTCCAATAGCAGTGACTTCAAGCTTGGCTTCTTCAGCCCTCAAAATTCCACAAACCGCTATGTAGGAATCTGGTATCTTTCTGAATCTGACATCATCTGGGTAGCCAACAAAAATCAACCATTATTTGATACTTTTGGGTTTATCACAATCTCTAAGGATGGGAATCTTGTGGTTTTGGGCAAACAGAACGTGAGTATTTGGTCTACAAATGTCTCAAATATTGCAACTAATTCAACTGCAAAACTTCTGAACACTGGGAATCTAGTCCTCTCTGATAATAACACAGGAGAAACTATTTGGGAGAGTTTCCAAGATCCTTCAAATGTATTTTTACCCAAGATGAAGCTCAGTATCAACAAAATAACAGGAGAGAAGGTGAAATTTACATCATGGAGAAGTCTTTCTGATCCATCTACAGGATACTACTCTGTTTCCCTTGAACGCCCAGATGCTCCTGACATTTTTGCCTGGTTTAATGGAACTCAGCCGTATGCTCGAACTGGTCCATGGAATGGAAGGATATTTATAGGGAGGCCTATGAAGCTATCTTCTGGGTATCTTTATGGATGGTACGTAAGAAATGATCCTGATGGAACACTTTATGTGACTTTTGAATTTGCAAATGATTCCGATTTTGCGATGCTTGGCCTGAATCCACAAGGCCAACTTTGGGTAGCAATGTGGAACAACAAGAGGGAAGTCTTGAGGGAGGTGGTGAATTACACTTACTGTGATTTCTACGGCAAATGTGGGGCTTTTGGAAGCTGTGATTTACGAAGTTCACCAATCTGTAACTGTTTGAATGGGTATGAACCAAAGAAGTTAGATGAATGGAACAGGCAAAATTGGACGAGTGGGTGTGTGAGGAAGGAGCCATTGCAATGCGAGGGATTTACAAATAGAACTGACAGAGACCAAAGGGATGGGTTTGTGAAACTTGAGAACATGAAAGCGCCAGACTTTTTGGTGAGGTCAATAACTGTTACAGAAGATGATTGCAGAACACAGTGCTTGAATAATTGCTCTTGTGTGGCATATGCATTTGATTTGAATGGCATTGGATGCATGCATTGGAGTGGGGACTTGATTGACCTAGAAAGATTCTCAAGTGGAGGGGTTGATCTTTACATTCGTGTGCCTTCATCAGAACTTGGTACCTTTTATGTTTGAAATCTTATGTTTCATCAAATTAGAAAGATTTCTCCTAAGCGGCTTGACATTTTGTTATGTATTGCAGAAACACATTCGCACAAAAGAAGAATCATCATTGTAATTACAGTGACAATAGGAATTATTGCTTTAACTGCATGTGCATATCTCCTATGGAAACTGACCCCTAAACATGCAGGTATTGTAATAGCTCATTTTAAGATGTGAAGATTAGATTTATTTCCCTTGCTGAAAATGAGATACATTTTTGGACCAAAGAAAGTGTAGGTGGGACTGGTTCACATAGTCAGTCTCAAAGAATGATTAGTCAACACAAAGAAATCAAAATGGACGATGAACTTCTACATTTTGATTTTGAAGAGCTTGCAACTGCTACAAACAACTTCCATTCAACAAACATGCTTGGACGGGGAGGTTTTGGTTCAGTGTACAAGGTAATTTGTTTCTTTCTTGTGTAGTGAATCGTTTTTTAAATAAGTCATTTCATTAGCTATTTTCTGTTTTACACCATCTCTTAAAGGGACAACTGAAAGATGGACAGCTAATTGCAATCAAAAGACTTTCAAAAGCATCAAGACAAGGGCAAGAAGAATTCATGAATGAGGTTATAGTGATTTCAAAGCTTCAACACCGCAATCTAGTAAGACTTTTAGGTTGTTGCATTCAGCAAGATGAAAGAATGTTAATCTATGAGTACATGCAAAACAAGAGTTTGGATACAATTCTATTTGGTTAGTTCATCCTCTTTTTTATGACAGTTCATCTTGCTTTTCAACTCTACTATAACTTGGGGGAAAAAAAATCCTCCTCTTCTCAATATTCAATGACTTGCTAACGTAGGTAACGTTGGATTCCCTTAACAACACACTTACTCTCTGTTACCTAATATGTTCTTTTGTTGCAGATCCAATTAAAAAGAAACAGTTGGATTGGCAAAAGCGTTTTAAAATTATTGAAGGAATCTCTCGAGGTTTGCTTTATCTCCATAGAGATTCTAGAATAAAAATCATACATAGAGATTTAAAGGTTAGTAACATCTTGTTGGATGAAGAATTAAATCCAAAAATATCAGACTTTGGAATGGCTAGGATATTTAGAAGCAATGAAGATCAAGCTAGTACTAGAAAAGTGGTTGGTACATTGTAAGTATGTCTTATTTTCTTGATTATTAAATCATCATGCCTATGACAATGCAAGCTAACAGGGTAACTTTTTAATGTAGTGGCTATATATCTCCTGAATACGCAATGCAAGGACAATTTTCTGAAAAATCAGACGTATTTAGTTTTGGAGTTTTATTGCTCGAGATTGTTAGTGGAAGAAGCAACTCTAGATTGCATAACATGGAGGGATCTCAAACTCTTTTAGGATATGTAAGTATCTTCAATACTTGTTATTGACATAAACTAAGTAGTTTCATGCTTGAATTTTTTTTTTTTTTTTATATTTTCAGGTATGGAAGCTTTGGAATGAAGATAACCTTGTGCCCTTTATAGATTCCGAAATATTCTATCAAGGTTCTTGTGATGAAATGTTGCGGTGTATACATATAGGACTTCTTTGTGTGCAAGAACTAGTGAAAGAGCGGCCAACTATGGACAATGTAGTGTCTATGCTTAACAGTGAGATTGTCAATCTTCCAGCTGCAAGGCAACCTTCATATGTACTAAATGAGATGGGATTTACTTCAAAGTCCACTTCAGAAACAGAGACTTCGCACTCTGCTAACTTTGTCAGCATCACTGAAATAATTGGGAGATGATAATACTTGGTATTACATATAATGGGAAGCGATTGTTAAACTTCACTAGGATTTAGTTACCTATCATGGATGATAATTTCATTACTTGAATCTAATATTTCTTCCCAACACTTTCTATGCTTAGATTTTTTTGCTGACATGGCAGGCAAGAAATTATTTTATATCTTAAACAAATTGTAAAGTTAAGCTACTGTTGAATAGACTTTCGATTTGATCATTTTTTACCTTCTACGAGGCAAAGAAACTATTCTGAAATCTTTTTAGGGGGGGGGGGAACTATTCTGAAATCACCTGAGTATAATATCATGGTTTTCTTGTCGGGTAAATATTTGTGCCAAGAAAAAAGGCAAGTTGCTTTCTTCGTGGGGCATAGAAGCTTTTGTTTCGTTGGCTTTGATATTCTGTCAGAAAGACTTGGAATATTACAAGAAACCCAAAACATGTGTAAAGGAACAAAGAAAGGAAGATAAGAGAACTATGATTACTTACAATTAATAACTTACTAACTCAAATTGTTGAAAACAGATTTCACTTCATTATCAATTGACCTGTGCATGAGAAGATTCAAAGTCAGTTGTAGAATGAAAAAAATAAAATAAATGGCAGGTTTCAAAAGTTTTTTTTTTTTTAACTTATAAAAAAAATTTGTTTAGCATAGAACACGTATCTGGAAAGGAAGCAGCAGCGCAGCTTCAGATAGTGACTATTATTTTAGTTCAAGTGCGTGCTTTACTCTTTTTGTTTCATAGGAGGAAAATTTATTTTCAAGCAGCAATAATAGCATTAAAAAATAATATTAAACAACGGATGCCCATGCTGCCACACTAACAAATGTAAACAATATTGCAAGAAAAAAAATCACAAACCATATTTAATTTGCATGGTTTAAATTTTATAAATCTAGCTTGTATATATTTTATTCTTTATTTTTTTTCCTATAGTCGCCAATTCTAAAAGGTTTAGCACCATATTATTATTTTTATATTACGAGATATTTCTTTTTAAATTAAAAAAACATTAATAGATACAGATACATGCTAATGGTCCAAATCTTCCATTTTTATAAGATCTCTGATAAAAAGCAGCGGAAAATGTGGATCCGAATATTGGAAATTCCATTTTGTCAGAAATGCAAAAGCATTAATTTCTATATTATTACTTTCAACTTTTCTAATTATTCAAGATATAGAAAATACTAATATGTATATAAAAATCGAATTTTGAAAAATTACATACCAAACTACTTTCCTCGTAACTTACTTGCCAAGTTTGTCGTTCGCAAGAGACGTTTCGCTTCTGCTTCCTTGGGCCTCAAAGGGAACCAATACTGTTGACCTTGAGCCGTGTTTTGGGCTAACTGCTAACAAAGTATCTTTGAATATTATCTTTTCAAAGCAGAAAGAGAAAATTGTATGTCTTATAAAAAAATTAATAAAATAAGAAAAACATAAAACCAACTTCACATAAATTCATGAATTTCAATTTTAGAGTATTTACTCGCATCAAGTTTCTGGATGAACTATGACCAACCACACCCACACATAATGGTCAACAAAAAATTGCGTGTCAAATTATTCTGGTCTTTTTTATGAATTTTAGACCCAACTGAGTTGAAAAGTTCCTATCTCAATTTTTGGGCATTTAGTATATGACATTAAAAATTCAGTATTCAATGACTACTTCATGTTTGGCCAAAAAAACAAACTACCTCAGACGTGCTGCATGTCAACCGTTTACTAAGAACAATTTGCATATATGATATGACTAAAAGTTATTATATGACAACAAATACTCCCTCCATTTCTATTATAAGACATTTTTAACTAATTCACTAAAATCAATGAATATTAGTTAACTCATTAAGTGACAGTATAAAATTAAATTTATAACAGAAGTAAAATTGAAAAATAATAATAAATAACCTTCCATATCTCTTATATTAAAGATAAAAAAATTCTTCTAAAAGATGCCCTATAATGAGGACAAAAGAGAGTGCATATTTAATTAGAAACAATGATAATAAACAAGAAGGGGAAGCTAAGGGTGCGCTTGGTTTTTATTTTAGTAAAAATCTATTTGTCAAAAATTTATTTGCAAAAAGTCAATGTAATGAAAATTAATTATTATAACGAGATTTATATTTAAATTCAATTTTAAAAAGTTAATTTAATAAACTAAAAATTATCTGGACAACGCATAATGAAAAGTGTTTTTAAATATATATGTGTGTGTGTGTGTGTGTGGATTTTATGATATATAATTTTGCTATGTAAAACTTAATTTATTAGAAAAATTGTATAAATTATATAAAATATGAATTTTCTTACCAGCAATATAAAATATGATATATTGAGTAATATATATAATAAAAAATGTATTATTTGTATATACATTCATGTGTAATGACTAATTAGTGAAAGTGGGTTTAGTAAATGGACTTTTGGCTAGTAAATGTGAAAACCAATCAATAAGAATCAAAATTGGCGTCCACGTTTGAGATGATAGAATTTGCACAATTATCTGGGAGAGCAAGACAATGAAAGCAAGTCTCAGTCATCCTTCTTCAACGTGCATCTCAAGGACTCTTCATCTCAGAAATGGGATTCTTTGGCAGACATACAATCCTATTCTCTGTCATGGTCATACTTGTTTGCTCTTCTTTTGAAATCTGCAGTTCCAAAGACACCATCAAGTTATCACAGCACATTAAGGATCCTGAAACTGTTAGTTCCAATGGGAGTTTCTTTACGTTGGGATTTTTCAGTCCTGAAAACTCTACAAATCGCCATGTAGGAATTTGGTACAAGTCCCAGTCCAATATCATATGGGTAGCCAATAGAAACCAACCATTGAAGGATTCTTCTGGGACTATTGCAATATCTGAGGATGGCAATCTTGTCATATTAAATGGGCAAAACCACATCATTTGGTCATCAAATGTGTCAAATATTACAGTCACTACAACGTGTCGGCTTCAAGGTTCTGGAAATCTTGTCCTACAAGATTCTGCAGAAAACATCTTATGGCAAAGTTTTGAACATCCTTCTGATTCATTCCTCCCCCAAATGAAACTTACAAGCAACAAAAGAACAGGTGAGAAACTAAGAGTCACATCATGGAAAAGTTTGTCAGATCCATCCAATGGAAACTTCTTTGCCACACTTGAACATCCAGATATACCTGAAATATTCATCTGGAATGGATCTCGCCCATATTGGCGCAGCGGTCCATGGAATGATAGGATCTTTACTGGTATATACTATATGAATGCCTATTATCTTCAAGGGTTTCGTATCATCAATGACGATGTGGAAGGAACTGTTTATTTGGATTTTAGTTATTCTAATGTGACAGACTACACATTCTTTGTCTTGAACTTTCGAGGTGTATTATATCAAAAAGATTGGCTTAGTGACACAATACAACCACATCAGAACTTTAGTATTCAAACTTCAGAATGTGATATTTATGGTTTATGTGGAGCATTTGGAAGTTGCAACTCAAATAGTTCACCTATATGCAACTGTTTGAGAGGGTTTGAACCAAGCAACAGAATGGAATGGGATATGCAAAACTGGACTAATGGTTGCGTTAGGAAGACAACTTTGCAGTGTGAGAAGTTGAAAAATCAAAGTGCACAAGGCAAACAAGATGGATTTTTGAAGTTGCAGATGGTTAAAGTGCCAGACTTTGGAGAAAGGTCTTCTGCTCCAGAGGAGACCTGCAGAAGCCAGTGCTTGGAGAATTGTACTTGTGCAGCTTACTCATTCAGCCCTGAGATAGGTTGCATGTCTTGGAAAGGAAACCTAATTGATGTACAACAGTTCTCAACAGGAGGACTTGATCTATATGTTCGTCTAGCCTATTCAGATCTTGGTACGTTAAACTTTTTATTCTGTCAAATATTAAAAATCCAGCTCTTTAACATTTTCCTATTTATAGATTTTGACTGGTTACAACTATCTTTATTTTCTCTGAAATGCAGAAAAGGGGAGAGATGCGAGAAAGATCATTATGGTTTCAGTAATAATAGGAACACTTATCATTGCTTTTGGTGCATATGTTTTATGGAAAATAGTGAAACACTCAGGTAGATTACCATTTATATCATCTCAATAAATTTAAATGCAATCTTCACATTATTATATTGTTGTTTGGTGATTCGTGATACTTCCTTATTCCATGGAGTATTTCTATGTTCTTCTCTCTTCCTAAAATCGATTCATTGTTTCACATCAGAGAGAAAATGGAAGAACAAATGGTTCTTCCGATTAAAGAAAGGTAAAGAATATTCAGAGAAAACACAAGACAGCATTATTGAAGAATTGTCACATGTTAGACAACCAGAGGTATTGGCATATGGTCTTGAAAAGGTTGCAACTGCTACAAACAATTTTGACCTCTCTAATAAGCTTGGGCAGGGTGGCTTTGGTCCCGTGTACAAGGTACATCAATCCCTGCTAATTTAAACAATTTTAAAGTCAATGCATATAATTATTTTTCTGTCACGGGGTGTAATTATTGTACCTGGTATTTTCATCAAGGGAATATTGCAAGATGGTCAGACTGTAGCAGTTAAAAGACTTTCTAGAGCATCTGGACAGGGACTAGAGGAATTTATGAATGAAGTCATTGTCATTTCCAAGCTTCAACACCGTAATCTTGTAAAACTTATTGGCTGCTGTGTCGAAGGAGGAGAGAAGATGTTAATCTACGAGTATATGCCAAATAAAAGTTTAGATGCATTTATTTTTGGTTTGTTCTTTTAACCCCTTTTTCCTTGTCATGTCATATGCATTAATAAACCTATAGCTTTTTCTTTACTTAGCATATACATGTTCACAACTATTATATCCCTTTTCTTTGCTTTCATAGATCCACTGAACCATGAAATCCTAGATTGGAGAGAGCGCTTTGACATAATTGAAGGGGTAGCTCGAGGAGTACTTTATCTTCATCGAGATTCTAGACTAAAAATTATACATAGAGACCTAAAGGCAAGCAACATATTGCTGGATGAGAACTTGAATCCAAAAATATCAGATTTTGGTATGGCAAGAATTTTCCAAGGGAGTGAAGATCAAGCTAACACGAGAAGAGTTGTTGGAACCTAGTAAGTTTTAAGTCATTATACAATAATATGGTAACAGAAAAAGAAGTTAGTACTCCAAAAATTAATTGTTTTGTTCAATCATGTAGCGGTTATATGTCTCCTGAATATGCAATAGAAGGATTGTTTTCAGAGAAATCCGATGTGTTTAGTTTTGGAGTTTTACTACTAGAGATTGTAAGCGGAAGAAGAAACTCAAGCCCTTCTAACAATGAGGGTTCTCTCAGCCTTCTAGGACTTGTAAGTCTTGATAGTCCATTGTCCTTCTCAAAACTCAACTGTATTGCTTTATTTTTCTTTTTCTTTTTTTTAACAGAAGTACTGCCTTATTTTTCATTCTTACTTAGTTTTAGTTTTTAATGCTGCTATTTTTTTTTTTTTTTTTGGTTTTAGACATGGAAATTTTGGAATGAAGAGAATACTGCGTTACTAATAGATCCTAGAATATATGATACCAACCTGGAGAAGGATATTTTGAGATGCATACACATAGGGCTCTTATGTGTGCAAGACCTTGCAAGAGAAAGGCCAAGTATGAGCATTGTGGTTTCTATGCTTAACAGTGAGATTATAAATCTTCCTCCTCCAAATCAACCTGCATTCATCCAGTGGCAGAGTTTGACGTGTTCAGCATCCAGTGAAGAAAGTCAAACATTGTTTTCAAACAATAGTGTTAGCATTACAGAGATAGATGGCAGATAGCTAGAATACCACATTTTCAATGAAATAATTTAGAATTATTTTTATTCTTGAATTATTTGGACAATGCATAACTATTTTCATGATGGCAGATAATTTAGAGATAGATGGCAGATAGCTAGAATTATTTTCATGGCTATAATATTACAGAAAAATAAGTTTCTCCTACTCGTGACTTGTAATGTTTATGTGGAAACATGGTAAGTTATCCTTTGCAGATCAATTATGCCAAATAAAGTGGCTAATAGCTATATCTTTCTGCAAGATGCAATTCTGCGACAGAGAAATCAGATGTGTAAAGCTACACAATTCGTTTTGTGCAAGAGATCTATGCTTTCAAAACTCAACAGGAACATGATATCGCTTAGTTAAAAAACAAGTTACTATTGAAAGATAAGAGAAGACTTTGAGTATTTAATCTTAAAAGATACTGGAGGCCATCACTATTGGTTCTAAAATTATTTTCAAATTAACAAAATAGATTTTCATTTTGTTTTGTTTTGAAAGACAATTTTTGAAAATTGGTTTACAAAATAGTTTTTTAAAAAAAAAAATGAGAACAAAACCAAGCAAGCCCAAAAACTCTTCTCTAATATTAATGCTTTTCTGCTGTGACAAGAAAAATAGAAGAAATACTTTCTCTAGTAACTCTATTTGTAATCATGCGGGACAAGGAAATTCAAATAACATCATACCTCTGACAAGGTATGTATCAAAAATCTATCATTTATACGTCGTTTAAAAGACTGGGATTAAAAAAAATCACGCTCTAAAATTTTGGTTGAAGAAATAAGAAGATTCAAAAGTTCTTGTACAATATTATGGGAAAAATTGGTTCAGCTGTTTTAGAAGTCTTTGGTACCAAGTCAAAATGAGTATTCCAAATCTTTGCAGTGAGAATTTTTTTGCCAATGCATTGACAGTTTAAAAATAAAATAAAAATAAATAGATCAAAGAATGTAGTTTTACGTAAAGAAACAATGAGAAGCTTTTACGGAAAGTGATAAAACATCCACTGCTACACTCTAAGAAAACAACGAACATTTCATCTCTTTTTTGCCATTCCAAGTTCTCTTGCAATTGATAAAGGCGACATTCCAACACACTTAATTTTCAAGGAAAGGCCAAATTGGTTTAAATTAATGGCTTAAAGTGCATGAAAGGAAGCAACACATACCACATAAGATTGGTTATGGTTTCTCTCTGCTCCTTTTATCAGGAGCAAAGGAACTGGATCCCATGTTTTTGTCAAATAGTAATGTGCACAAGACATCTCAAATGCATCTAAAAGAGAATCAACTTGATAATGCAATATAGAATAACTATATTTGCAGAATAAGCTAGTTTTTATCTGCTTTAACTGTTTTATTGAATGAAGAGGCATTTTTAAAAGTCCTAAGCGGAACCAATCAAACCAAAAAAGAAGGAGGACAAAAAATAACTGTAATAATAGTAACATGAACAAGATGCTATCACATGAAGTAATGCTTGCACAGTCTGATAATAATAGTAGAACAGGTTAATGGTTATCCTTCGCAGAATTCCTAAACCCATTTCCTACTTCAATTTCTGATAATTACAATGATTTTTTTTTTTTACAGGATTCAGTAAAAACACTCGATTGTTACTTACTTTTCACATATAAATATATATATTTGTTCTCTTTTACTCTTCTAGTCTGTGCTTCGACACCACCAAACAGGCACATCCACGTACAGAACGGTTCTTCTTCCCTTAACGAGGTGCAGCAGCTCTTTTCTTCCCACTAACATCCATTATCAATGAATGAAGCAAGCCAGCAGCAGAACCTGAGGCTAATTGGTATGCTCTGTGATAGATGATCAGCTTCTTTATACCCAAATCTTAATTTTCATTGAGGTGACTGAATCAGATGACTTTAGAAATCCATGTTATGTGCATGACAGGAGTGTTTGCACTTTGCATTGAGGTCAGCCATGAATACAGCTAGATTAAGGAAGCAACATGTAACTTTGAAAGGTCATCGGTGAAATCTTTTGAATCTGAAGAAATTGTATCATAGTTTATTCATGTGTTCGGTCCACGTTAATTGTTATGATGTACTTCAATAAGCTATGTTCTTTAGAAGATGGTTGCTGCTAGTGAGGCTGCACATGCTGTTACGTTCAACAGCCAATTCGTTAGTTGCCGTACTTAGCGGCAAATCGGTAGTAGTCTCTACTAATAAACATTGCCATTTTCTAGAATATTTTAATATGCATATAAACATGAGTCAGTTTCTAGCCATGGTTTCAATTAGCTGCTAAACTCAGTAAAATCACTAACAGAAAGAAGGATGGATCCATTATTCAATCCGAGACAGACTATGAAATTCCACAAGCCAAGCCAAGGGAAGAGACAATACCTATTGGCGGTGCTCTTGGGTTTAAAATCTCTATTCCACGAGGACGATGAGCATCATCGGCCCATCAATGCTAGCATTCTTGGTGGCTCTCTTGGTTCCTTCGTGGATAGGGATAGCGGCAGCGGCCTCAGAGTGCTTCGTGCTGAATATGATTGCCGGAGGGGGGGGGAACCTTGAAGATTTTGCCAATGCCGCTAATCTGATGAATCACCGTTTTGCTCGGCGGCCTCTACGGCTCCTCTGGTGGTTCCGTCACCGGTGGGCCTCCCAAGCGGGCCCTCATAGGTCATCAACCGCTTCAACATCTGCTCCACCCTTTTTCGGAACCTCATGTCTACTAATCCTCTACATCGATTAATTTAAGGGTTAATAATCTTTACTTTTGTAAATTGCATTGAATTACTGTTCTTTCTGCAGTATCTTTACTTTTTTTCAACAGTGCCCCATGATTTATTTTAAATATTATATTATCTTTTTTATCACATTGTAAAGTATCTATCGATCTGACAAAAAAAATGTAGGACTTTTTTTATTATGTTTTTTCAAACTATTCATTTGATTTCTTTTATAAATTACTTTCAACAATATCATCAATATTAATAAAAAAATAAAAAAAATAAAAATATATAAAATTTTAAATATATTCATATATAATAAATTCAAAAGGTGCTATCATATTATTTTTATTTTTCATGAAGAGAAATTTTAAAAATATTTTTTAAATATTACTTAAAAAGTTACATCATAACTTACAAATAGAGTCAGATGGACCTTCTAAAATATGTTTTATAAATAGAATCGGATAGAGTATTTCAATAGTTCTCTCTCTTAATTTTAATTCAGAAAAATAAAATATATTACCTTTCTCTTTCACCATGAACATTTCACACATTTTAGATACTATTTTTTAATTTAATTATGGTTTTAATGTTTACTAAATATTTTACTTTTGTTAGTTTTGATATTATATTTGGTAATGATATCAATTTATTTTTATAAAAAAAAAACATAGAGTTTAGGTTAAAAGTTTATAATTGTTGTGAATATTAAAAAGATAATGGATATTCATTTTCATCACCTCTTCATCTTCATCTTCTCTTTTAAAATTCTCATCATCATGATAGTTGATTACCTTTTATTTATCTTTATCATTTGTATAAAATTTGATGTGTAAGATCTTATTTATAAATAGAATATGTAATTTGTATTAAAAGACACAATAATATATAAGAAATTTTCTCATTATCTTGTCTCTACTTCTTCTCTTAATATTTTTATTTTTTAATTAATTAATTTTATAACATATTATCAACATAAAAGTTCTGATAATTTAAAGATTCAATAGTAAGGTTTTTCGTTGCAAGGTAAGAAGTTGATTTTAATTATGGTGACATGGATTCTGATTATGGTTCCAACAACTCTTCTTTGATTCCAACAATTCTTCTTGACATCATATGCTAAGGTTATCAACCGCTTCAACATCTGCTCCACCCTTTTCGGAACCTCTTAGGTCTACTTCTGCTCCATATCGATTAATTTAAGGATTAATTTAAGGGTTAATAATCTTCTTTACATTTGTAAATTGCATTGAATTACTTTCTTTATACAGTGTTTTTACTATTTTTAACAGTGCCCGATGATTTATTTTAATATTATATTATCCTTCTTATCACAGTGTAAAGTATCTACCGATTTGACAAAAAGAATAAAAGAAGGAGGGACCTTTTTTATTATGTTATTTTAAACTCCTCATATGATATTTTATGTTCTATCAATCTCGTGAATATTAATATTAAAAAAATAAAAAAAAGTGTGTAAAATTTTAAATATGTTTTCATATAATAAATTTAAAAAATAATATTATATTATTTTTTCTCTCTCATGAAAAATAATTTTAAAAATATCTTTTAAATATCATTTAAAAAGCCAAAACTAAATGAATCTTTTATAATATGCTTTATAAATGAGATTTGAGAGAGTATTTCAATAGTTTTCTCTCTTAATTTTAATTCAAAAATATAAAATATATTATCTCGCTCTTTCACAATAAACATTTCACACATTTTAGATACTATTTTTTTAAATAATCATTTCAATGTTTACTAAATATTTTACTTTTATTAGTTTTGATGGTATATTTGGTAATGATATCAATTTATTTAAAAAAAATATATAGAACTCAGGATAAAAGTTTATAATTGTTATGAATATTAAAATGATAGTGGATGTCTATTTTCATTACCTCTTCATCTTCATCTTCTACTATGAAAATCTCACCGTCATGAGAGTTGATTACCTTTTATTTGCTTTTATTATTTCTGTAACATTTGATTTGTAAAAGCATACCTATAAATAAAGCATGTAATTTGTATTGAAATATATAAAAATTTATAAAAATTTCTCTCATTCTCTTGTCTCTACTTCTTCTCCCAATATATTTATTTTATAGTTGTTTAATTTCATAGTACATTATCGGCATGAGAGCACTGGTAATCTAAAAGTTCTACAACAAGGTTTCCCATTACAAGGTAATTTGTATGTTCATATATGATTTGATTTATTTTCTAACCATTTGATCCTCTTAATCTTGTTTAATATTGAATATCATCTAACTCTTATCATATTTTTATTATAGTATATATATGTTAAAGAAAGAATTTGAAATGAAAGACTTGAGAAGAATAAAATTTTGCCTTTTTTTACAAATGGAATATATGAACAATGAAATTTTTTTTATATTAAGAAACTTATACAAAAAAGGTCTTAAAATTGTTTTATATAGATAAATCACATTTGTTATGTTGCCTAATGGTTGTAAGATAGTAGATAAAGATCTTTTTAGACCTTAAAAAGGTAATAAAAAACTACTTAATTCAGAAGTATTATATTTTAGTGCAATTAGAGCACTAATGTATCTTACTAGTTACACACGACCTAATATCTCATTTGTTATTAACTTATTAG